TAGAGCGCGGTGACCAGCAGGTACTGGTAGTACAGCCACGACATCTGCTTCCACGCCGAGCCCAGCGCCATGGCGCTCCCCCGCCCGCCAGCGGCCCCGCGCCGGGCCCAGGCCGAGCGGAGGCGGGGGCGGTGCAGCCGGGACCGCCCTCCCCCGGCCCCGCCCCGGGCCCGGGTGGCCGCGGCCAGCGGCAAGGAGGCGCCGCGGCCTGTGCGGCTGGCCCGGGGCGCTCCCGGAGCGGGGGAGAACGGCGGGGATGCACATCCTTCCCCGTTCTCCCCACTGAACGCCGACATCGGGCCCGATCTGATTAAATTATACGGCTGACCCTGAAGCTGGTAACTTCCCGGCCCGAATCACACCGAGGAGGTGGTGCTGCAACCTATTTTCTCTCATCCTGTTTAATCTGAATTGACGTTCTGGGAATCACGGAAAAGCCAAAGCCTGTGCTTGGCAGGGCCTAAGGAAGACATGTTAAAAATTATCTGCACGATTCTTCAACTTCGTTCAGTTGTCGGAGGGTAAAGCTCACCCAAAAACGTGGCTCAGATAAATGCGACCTTAAGATAGGCCAGCTTTGGCGAGGTTAATCCATATGAATAAGAAAAACAAAGAGGCGATGAATCAGCTGTTTACTGTGACTGTTCCTAACGTTGCGCTACCCTAAGGCACTCGAAGCCAGAAACCAGAGATTCCCAGAGACTGGTTTGGGACTATGTGATTAGGAAGGCCCTTGGCAGTTGATGCCGGCACTGTGGAAGGCACGGTTTGCGAACCCGCTGGAAGGGGATGTGCACAATCATCAGGCACCTTGAATGAGCAGAGCGTGTGTTGCAACTTCCAGGCCAGTAGTCCAGGCCAGTAGTCCAGACCACGCATTCCAAGTGTGCACAGCATAGAGTAGAAACTGGAATTGACTCACTATACTTACTCTGCTTAGTAAATCAATTTACAATTATGTTACTGAGCGATGTGATTCTGTCCTTGTAGCCGTCCCACCCCTACCTTCACCTGTGCTATTTATACAATGAAAAATAAGGAAGTACAACCATAGGAGAATGCACATTTGAGTTACTCGGACAGCTGCAAAATACAACTACAGGACCAGGAGATAACTGAAAAAGAAAAGCAGCTGGCAAAGAAAACTGAAGAGTGTACTATTTTGTGTGGCAGAATTTGAAATAGGATTTCTTTCACCCTGAAGACATTTAGACACACCTTATCTATGCAGATTTATTTGAACAAGAGGAGATTAATACCCTGACATAGCAGCCTATGGGAGCTGTTGCCATTATCCAAGTCGGCTGTTGTTTGTTGCAGTCTCTGCTGGAGGAGTCCTGTGTTGGTGTTGCTGCTTGAGTAAACAGTGGTAATCATGAAAGGAGCCTTTCTGTATAAACATGCCCAAAGTTCAAGGACAAGTTCAATAACTAAAGCATTATTCCCATTGAAAGCTGCAGGAAGGCTATCAACATGGAGCACAGGGGTCCAGTCCTCTCTGTTCCTGTGATTCCTAACAAGATGCTCTGCAATTCAAGTGGTAAGGCAAGCAAAATGCAGCAGCAATTAAGGACCTGGGATGAGAGGAACGGTAATGCCTAGAGGCATGCCAGCTTTACAATCTCGTACACCTGCCCTAACCCACCAGGTAGGTGGGCCCTTGCACTTTTTTGGTATGGTGCATGCTTATGAGAGTTTTTTTTGCTAGTTAGCCCCTTATGGAAATAGACATTACTCCTCTGTACAGTTTCCCCTCCTTCACCAGCTCCATTCTACCCCTGCTTAGGGACTGTCATCATGTAATTGTTTTTCCTGATTCCACCTGCATCAACACTTGAGCTCTTGAACTACATTCTCACATGCTCATGTTTCCAGCAGGTCAGTGCAAACATCCTTAACCTGACACTACAGAGAGCCTTTCTGTTTCATCTGGAATGTAAAGAGAAGTAAATCAAGGCCAGCATGCTCCAGAGCACAGACCATATTCCCTGTTACATGTATTCCTCCACACTTCTACCAAGGAACAGTACTTCATATATTCAAAATTTCCTGTGTACACCTCTTGGCTCATGGCACACAGTAAGAATTTATCCCACTTCACATGATCCCACAGCTATCTGATACTGCAAGTCAGATACTTCACTCTTGAGTCTGAATGTAGGTAGTAGCAAAGATGAGACTGAAATCTTGTCTCACCATACCCCAAGCCTCAGAACCAGTAGAGCTCCATTTTGTTCCTAAGGTTGCATAGCAGAGGAAGGCACATCATAGTGACCAACCACATGTTCAGCAGCTGCATCAACAGTTCTCTACTTCATCAAGCAGAGGTTACGTTTCTGCTGATTTGAAAATACTGTGTTTTTCTTATGTAATCCTGACAGAAGAACCAGCAGGTTTATTTCTTCCTAATCTGATGTAACAGCATAGAATGAGTGTGTGTAGATCAGTAAAATACCACACCAGGGACTACAAAAGGTAACCAAAGAGTTACAAGATTTTATTATAATCTAAGGCACAAAAGATGTTATTCAGGTTTCTACCTCCTAAATTCAAATATTTCTGACAATTCCTTAAAGCACATGTAACTAGTTATTCCTAGTACTATTACGAGAAAAAAAAAAAGATTTTATTTTCAGACAGACCCTTGTTCAGTTAAAAAATATCAGGCTATAAGAGATGTTACAAATAAAGAGTTTGCCTCTGGAACATGAGCATGTGAGCTATAAGAGATGTTACAAATAAAAAGTAAGAGTTTGCCTCTAGGGCACACACCTGAATGAAGATAGAGAAGGATCCAGAATTAACAATACAGTGGCTTCATAGACATAAATACCAAGTACAGAAGCTCTTTGTGTTTCCATAAAGAAGCTGTAAATGTGCTAAATAAACAGAAAAAGCCGACTAGTTATATGGTAATAGATCTGACTATAAATTTCTTCTTAAAATGTATCATCAAAAGGGAAAACAACAATAAATCCAGTACTTTCTTCTACTATGTATATGTAAATATACATATTTATATGTACAACATTTAGCTGTATTACTAGGCATGTTGATTTATATGATCAGTGGAAGAACAGTCCATGCCAGCAAAATCAATGTAAGCTCATCTTCCAATCTGTATAAAGAAAAGTTTCTTTTTTTTGAGATCTTAATGAACCAAAAATCCAAATATCATGACAATTCCTTCTTTATCAGTGTCCTAGTTTTGGCTGGGACGGAGTTCATATTCTTGTCAGTAACTTGGATTTAGTCTGAGAATAATGTTCTCATGAGCACCAGGATGTTTTGGTCGTTGCTATGTTAATACTAGGGCCCAAACAACAGCCCCTGAGTTAACCTCTAGATGAACATTCCAGCCAAAAGTTATGTATATATTCACTCATTAATAACGTATTATTATATGTATTCAGTTATATGTATTCACTTATTTGCAATAAATAAATGATACATATCTAGAAACCTGGGAATGCCTTACTAGGGGTGTATAGGATAAGAGACAACTCCCTTGGTTCCTCCTGGAGTCCTGCTAAGGCTTTAGGGAAAAGCCAATAGAAGAATGAAATTAGAAATTATGTCAGCTTGTTTGTTTAACAGTATACAATCTGGGCTACTTTCACAGCAAAGTCAGGGAGCCTGGAGGCCTGCAAGGTGGACACACCACTGGAGTTCTGTTACTGGGCATGGTTCTCCAGTCCTTGGCTGTGACAGCTTCTCCCCACAGCTGATATTTTCAGGACTTGGACAATGGTCAAGTAATAGGGTAACTAGTGATGTATCTTAATCACTGTAGGCATTCTTCCATAGTAACAATTAGGTGCATTGCTTATCTTATCCTTTTGTAATTCTTTGCTAAGGATTATGTGCATTGCATAGCCTGTCCTTTTGTGATTCTTTGCAGTTTTGCATTATAGTAAATTACACTGTTCCTTAAATTGGTGTTTGTGTCTGTGTCTCTGACCCTGCTAACTGGCAAAACACTAAGTGGCACTTAGGATAAGTCAAGGACTTTTCAGTGTCTCACGCTCTGCCAGTGAGGAGCGCCATAAAAAACTGGGAGGGAGCCTCGCCAGGACAAGTGACCAAAGTGGCTGAAGGGATATTCCATACCCTAGAATATCATGCCCAGTATATAAACTGGGGGAGTTACCTGGAAGGCAGATGATCACTGTTCAAGGCCAAGCTGGCTCTGGGTCAGCACGTGGTGAGCAGTTGTGTTGTTGTGGTGGATTGACCTGGCTGGATACCGGGTACCCAGCAAAGCTGCTCTATCTGTCCCCTCTGCAAATGGACAGAGGAAACACACACAAAGGTCCATGACTTAAGGATTGGGAGAGCTCACTCACCGAATACCATCATGGGTAAATCACACTGAACTTGGGAGTATTAACTGAATTTATTACTAACAAAATCAGAGCAGGATAATGAGGAGTACAATAAATCTTACTTTCCCCTAACTCACCCTGCTTCTTGGGCTCTACTTCCTCCCCTACCAGAAGTGCAGGGAGACAGGGAATGGGGTTATGGTCAGTTCATCAACCATTGTGCCTGCCACTGGTCCAGAAGTCCTTTCCCTGATCCAGTGTGAGGTACCTCCCACAGGAGACAGTACTCCACTAACTTCTCTAACATGAATCCATCCCACAGGCAACACTTCTTCCAAAACTGTTCCTTTGTGGGTCATTTTTCCAGAGTGCAGTCCTTCAGGAGCAGCCTGCTCCAACATGGGCCTGCCACGGGGTCACAAGTTTTATCCGAACACCTGCTTTAGTGTGGGCTCCTCTTGCTGTGGGTCCTGCAGGACCAAATTTTCCTCCCCACTGGGGGAGGAGGTGGAGGGGAGTGAGCAAGCAGTTGTGTGGCCTAGTTGCCAGCCAGGTAAAACCATAACACAGACCATGTGTGCAAATCTACCAAGAACAACAGCCTAATGACATCAAACATTCTGACTGAATGTTGTTTATCCCTTGCTAGAAAATAACCAATGCAGCTATGGAAAATCAGTTACTATAAAGTGTTTATTCCAAGAAGCCATTCTAATACACACTCAGATGATGAATGATAGTAGTATATATACAGGGAATGATCATAATATACAGATCTACATGGTATTTACAAAATATTTAATCCCCAATGATACCACCTCCCGATGGTGGGAATGAATATTGGTCTCACATACACACAGTTAACTGTATGCCTTGTATAAACGTTGCAAAAAGTCCAACCATTATAAAGTTCTCAGATGAAAATGCACATTTTTAAGACCACATTTTCAAAAAGGCAAGTATGCCTGCATTTCTAACACTTCCCATGCTCTTAACAACAGCACAGGATTTTTCCCCCTGCATTTCCACATTAGGAGTGGCTGGCCAGAACATTGAAGAAGTGAAAAACTTCATCTTTATCCATTACTGCTACTTCAGTTGAGCATTCAGTACATAATACTGGATGATATATTTCCTCTTCTTCTTGATTTGATTGTATAGAGTCAATTTCTTTGCTGTGCTTCCTTTTCTTACTTCTCTTTACCTTCTTTCTGTATTTCAGTATTTCCTCTTTGTTAACAACACAGTTCATCACAAACATTGCTCTGTACTGTGTTTTGTAAGATTCATGTCTATGGAGAAGGGGAGAAAATGCAAGTCATACCATTCATACAACGCTGCTTCCAAAAAATCTGTTACCATTACTGGGTATGGGATTAAAGATAGGAAATAACATGCCAAAGGGCTGAAAGCCAAGTAAGCAGGAATTTCATAAACAGAAGTCACAGCTACAAAAATAATAAAAACATAGAATTGCAGCCATCTGTTGTTTTTTAAGGCATTTTTTAAAATACTGTCTGTTGCTGAAAGAAGCACTCTGGAGTACAATGGTACTGGTATTGCAGAATTATGCATTGCTACATATACCTCATAATAGTAAAAGATCAGGAAGCTGTGAGTGTAAATGACTCATCTGCTGGCAGTGACATCCTACAATGTTATGCAAGTCTGAAATTCCTTATTTATAAGTAATATCATTGACATATCACACTAGAAGCAGCATGTCTATAATAAAACATAAAATTTCAGCTGTCATCAGTCTTAACAACTGTGTATCTGGAGGATGTAGCAAAATTCAGTACTGTAGTTCAATTTAACACAATGTCCCTCAGGCTACAATTTTACAGCAGCCTGAATGAATACAACAGTGGCTGCAAAAGTCCAATCTGGAATTCTGCTGGCTTATTGCTTGTATGACACTGTGCTGAGCTATTGCAGTGGATTAAACCCAGGAAAGACCAGTCTGACAATAAAAATACAGTTAGCTTAGCAAATTGAAATACTTAACTACAGAAAAAGGTCAAGGAGTACCGGAGCCAGCAAAGCCAAAACAGAGAAAAACAGCAGCCAGTACTTAGATTTCAGGCTGCTGTGGAATTTCATCCTCTATCACCAAAAATACTCAGTAAATGACAGGTATTTTATTCCTCATTTCAGATTTCTTTCTACTTTACTCCCACTTCTAGAGTCCTTTTCCTTAGCACAGTCAGCAGCACTAACTAGGCCTACAATGCAGTCAGATACTGGATAGTAGCAAACCATACTGTGGACTCTCACCTAAATACCTTCCTGGCATTTTTAAATGTAACTGCACTCAAAACCTAACTGCTGAGACTCAAACCAAGCAAGAATACACTATCTTTATTTTGCTTAATCCTCCTTTAAAAAGACATTTTTAGACAAAAATGACATAGAATAGTTTTATGCCTCCAAACATCAAGCCAAAATATATATTAGATAGGTATCTCTAAAATCCCCAATCTTCCTGAAATGCCTGTTGAGTCTCCACAATTATTATTTTTTTAAAAAATTTACCTACTCCACTATGCTAACGTTCTACCCTATTATTCCCCATCTCCACACTGCAGGTTAAACTGATCATCACTCTTACAAACCAGCATGTAAATCTGACTCACATCTACCTGCCTTCTCATTATTAGGGCTATCTTGTGAGACAGAGTTGATAAAAATCCACAGATCAAACTGAATATGCTAACAATACTACTGACTGAGAAAAAGGAATTACAAAAAGACCCCTTATTGTTCACTGTTATTACCTCTGGCAGTCCAGGCATAGTGTTGTCATGCAGGCAGGGCAGTTCAGAACAGCATCACTGTTTGGAACAGCTGCAGGTTTTGCCTGCCTCTGCTGCGGTGCTCTTCTCTGGTTCCGGTACCTACCAATTCGAGAGAGGAGGAAGCAGAGACAACAAGTGAAATTACATGCCCTTGCTGTTGGTCATAATAACTCAATGTCAAACCTCTCTTTGCATTAAAAGAAGAGGTTTGACATTGAAGAGGTTCAATGTCAAACCTCTCTTTGCATTAAAATTCACCAATTAATACTTGGCTCATTCTGGACACCTTTTGCATTAAGTCAACATAAATGAGAAGGTGAAGGGAAAACACATACCAGTATCTTTTGATTTACAGAGTATTTTCATTTGGTGAGACAAATACATCTAGCATGAGAATTTGTGCCTAACAGCCCTCTCCTCTGACAAAGCAGGTATCTCAAGTACCATCTCTGCAGGCAACATTCATTATCTTAATCAATAAATTTAGGTGGAAAATTTTACTTCTTTTGCAACAACCATTTTTCTACTTCAACCTTCAAAAAACCCTTATTAAAGTACCTTTGTATTGTTCCTGTTTTCTCTGCACATTTTGTGGCTTGCTAAGTTCAAAGTTTTCCAAAACCAGAAATTCACTATTTATCAGGAACAAATATTAATCAGCAATCAAATTATCTTGCAACAGTTTAATTCATAGCATGGTTGTTTAGATGAGATCTACAGACAAAACTGGCTTAGAGAATTTTGAAAACTTGATTTTAAAAATTTTAAAGTTTTGTGTCATTTTGAAGACTCAAGTTCTATTACATACACCCAAAACATTTTACAAGCTTTTAAGTTTCTTATGCTTTAAGTTGATATATAAAAAATAGTTTCATATAATGGATTTGACAGCATTGGCATTTTCTCTACCTTTACCATTTTCATTTAAAATTTTCAGTTGATGTTAAGTATCTTACAATTCAAATATTTATGGTTGCTTACCCTCTCCTCTGTGAGTCTACCCACTCTTGGTCTCTACTGTCTTCTTCTGGGTCATACAGCAGCTCATCATTGGAGAGAATCCGACGTTGCTGATGTTTTCTGTTTTTCCGGACATCCTGTGTATCTGGAAAAAAATGTGCAAGAACATATTCCATCCATCAGACACAAATTATCAAAATATACAATATCCAATTTTCAATTTCCATCCTTGCAATAAATCTAAACTGAAACTTACATGCCCGGCTCATCTCTCCTCCAAGTGCGTGACCCCAAAGCATTACATTGGGATACATCATAAAATTGCAGGAGCTATGCCGAGATGATGTAGGCTGATAATTCCCTTCAAAAATGCTGCCTTCAAAAACAGCCTCTTGACCCCCCCCCCCCCCCCCCCCCGCCTCCCCAGAGGATTTTACAGGATCTGAGAGAGTAAGTGGCAGTATAAAGATGCCCTCCCCTTGCCTCTGTCATTTACCTATTTTATCTTCATCCTCTGAATCAGAATCAAAGTAAATGTCATCATAGTATTTTGAAGTGCTGGCAGATCCAGTACTTGAGGAAGTACCTACAGGTGAAATTAGAAGTGGTAAGGACACCCTGCTAAAAGGACAGCAAGTATATAGCCCACAACAAACCTTTACTTTCAAGTTACTCTGTTCAGAGTGCTCGGTTCTACCTGGGTGTGTTAAGTAACAGCTCTCCCAGGTTATTCCCACACCCATATCATTCACATCACTTGTGTTACTTCATTCACAGGTATTCTCCGAGCAAAGCTACTCCCTTCTCCCTCGAAGATGAACCTCAGGTACCATTTGAAGGACAGTTTCTCCCAACACTCCCTTTAGACACAGAGGACACCACCATCATTCTGTAGGGCCTGTCTGTGCCCTACAGAATACACAAGACATTTTTAGCCATGTGAAAGAAATACAGGTGTGGCACATTGTTTCACAAACTTTGATTACAATAAAATTCACTAAAAAAGTCCTCCAAAATTTCAGGGCCACAGAAGTTAAAAAATGCCAACATGAACTGCCAAGCAGTCACAGCCACTCTGCATCACAATTCCTATTCTGTGCTGTATGGATGTGGTGATGTAAATACCGCTACATATTCTTAACTATACAACCAAAACCTAAAGATTATTTGGCCACTAACACATAATTCAATATTTCATATGCAAGCAGATGTTAAGCTTGATTTACCCATTTCAGGTGATTTCCATTTGCCTTCCATAGTCTTCATGGTGGTGTTTAGTTCTGCTTCCATCTCCTTTTGGAACTCATCGTCGCTGGAAGACTCACTCTCGCCAGTCAGGCACTCCCGTATCAGCTTCCGCTTCTGGTCAGGAGTGCCGTGCAGGAGCACGTCCACTTCATCCTCTGAGCTACAAACATCCAAGTGGTACACACCTCATTATTACAAATAGGCTAAAACGTGGACATAGTCACTTGGGGAATGAACATTTAATTGTGTGGGTGCACGGGAGAGCCCTTACTCCTATGCTTATGGGCAACGTACATATTAAAACACTTTATTAGCTTAGGAGTATTAAAACTCTGGTTTAAACGCAAAGGAGCTTCAGCCGACTGCGTGCGGCCTGCCACAACGCCCCGGCAGCTCTCGCTCCGCGCAGGGAGCTGTGCAGTCAGAAATATAAATACGCCGGTTTCATGGAAATCGCCGCGGCTGATGGAGCGAGGCCGAGGCCGATCCTCTTGCACTCTGCGGGCAGCCCGGGCTCGCTGCCCACGGCCTGGCACCGCCAGCGTCACTGCGCGCCCGGGCCAGCACAAGCCAGGCGGGGAGCGGGGCCCGCCGCCGCCGGCCCGAGCCCACCCCCCCGCCGGCAGCTCCAGGCACCTGCTGAGCGCTCGCTCCTCGTCGCTGGGCTCCTCCACCACGTACGGATCATCCTCCTCCCGCAGGCGGCTCATGGCGCCACCGCTGAGCTCGCCCGCTGCCGCAGCCAGGCCCGGCCCCGCCCCTTCCGGGCGGCCGGCAGCTTCCGGCGGCCGAGCCCCGCCCCGCCCCGCCCCGCCGGGGAAAGGCGCTCCCGCCGCCAAGGCCCGGCCCAGAGCGGGGGAGCCCCGCAGCGAGGAGCGGGCAGGCGGGCTCTTTCCCTTTCTCCGCGGAGTTGCAGGTCCTCGGGTCACGTTTTAAGCATTTTTTTTCCAGAGCTACCGAGCCAGAGTCAGAGCTTTAAGAGACACACCCAATACCAAGAGGCTTGGAAAAAATTTAATGAGCTAGTAACACTCAACAGCGAGGACTAATCTAAAAACTGTTCCCACATCCTACTTAAAATATTTACAATATTGTTAACTATATATACATTGTCATCGTTGTCCCTTGTAGTCTATTTATAGATGAGTTCCTTAGGAATTATACCTGTTATATCTAGAAGATGAACAGCACAGTATTGGTGTAGTAGGCATTGCTGGGAATACTCTCTGTACTAGCTAAGTTGCCAAGACCCACTGGGCACTGGGCATCGAAGCCTGAGGTGAGGGGTACATGAATCAAAGCACAATGCAAACTTCTCTGCCTTTGCAATGTTTTGATGTGCAAGGCAGCAGGGTAAGTGTACAACACTGTGCAATTTACCCTATCTGAGAAAAACAAACCACACGCCTCTGTGTGGCAGTACAGGGCATCTGTAATCAGACACTGACTTACACTGATCTGCATTTTCAACCATACCATTCACCCAAACTTTGCTGCTCCACTGAAGGCCTGCAAACAGCATATATTGCTTATAAAGCAGAAATCCCACTGTGAAGAGTGATTCCTCAAGTGACATTTTATGACATCGTGAAATCACACAACATAGCAGCACCTCTTGGAAAAGGGTCATAGTTCAACGAAGGGAGACCAATCAAGACAACTAACAATACTGGATTCATAGCTCTAAGTCTTAAGTCCAGTTAGCAGAATGAGATCCTCTTAACACACTCCTTTATAGGGGATACCTTCACTTTTTTCCTGAAGCAAAACATTTTATCTGTATGACAGTGGGGCAGTATTACTTTTCACTGATTTTTTATGCACCTTCTGAACTCCCTTCTGCTACTTTATTTCCCCTTTCTCAGAAGAAACCCAGGAAGTTCTCTCAAATGTATTTCTGCCAAAGAAATTGCAGAGTCAGCCACCAAGCTCAAAACAATTTAAGTACAACACTGGGTAGGAAAGTCACAGACAAACAGATAAAACCTGAGAATGCAAGTGAAAAGTACTGGGCGAGTAGTGTCAGACCAATCCAATACTTAGTCAATGGTTTTTACACGATGAATAGAGAAAAAAACCAAATTAATCTAATTTACTAGAAAATACTAAGCTTATATATGATACAGTGTCTGCATCATTTTAGAAAAATCACTGATTTCATGGTTTATTTTACAATAATTGGATTAGTCTACAAGTTAAGGCAAACATACTAATGCATCTGCTTTTCTTTTTAAATCATAGTTATAAAGGTTACACAAAGTTCTCCAAAATTTCTAAGAAATGTTCACAATTGAAAAAAAGATAAGTTTTTTGATATAAGTACATGGAAAAAAAACTAAGACAGTGTATACAATGCCATTATAGTAACAATATTCAAATATCTAATGGTAATATTTAGGCCATTTGAACAATGTGCTTCAAATGGTGATCTTCAGAAATTACTTACAAAGGTAAATAAGATTGCAGCCGTATCATAGTATTCATAACATGAACATTATTATATTGGCTATTTTCACAAAACCCGAGCATTTGGTTTCTGAACAATGAAAGCGTATAATGATTAAATAAACATGAATATGTATGTATAACAAGTATGCTGTTCATATAGTCTGGAGCTACTTTCACATGTTTAATTCTTTTGAAAGAAGAAGCTTGCTTATGTGCACTTTGTCAAATGTTTTCTCCAGGGAATTGTAAATGCCTATTTAAAGTCATGAAAACAAAATCCAGAGGAGGGCAGCCCTTGTTAGTGGGAGGACAGACCGTAGCTTATGTGTCACCATTTAACACTGCCAGGCAGCTCTGCAGAAGCTGTAAGTTACCCTGTAAAAATAAAGAAAAATATCACCACATTTGTCTTCTTTCTTTTAAGCTTGTGACAGAACAGTGTTTTTTAAATAGCAATGACACAACTAAAGAAGAATAGACAGGTTTTGAACTTATGGAAAAATATGTGTAACTTTTGTATTGAAAGTTTTTTTGAATGTAGGAATATAGTGCCATGGAAATAAAGAGAGCCAATCTGAGATTCAAAATTAAGCACTTAATACCCTTTCACATTTATTCCTAGAGGTCTAGTCTGGCCACAAAAACTATTCACTGCAGAGCAGTCTCTCAGCAATGAAATTCACAGTTGCAAAGTTTAAAATATTTTATATAGCAGGACCATTGCTCTGTCTCTAGAATAAAATCCCCTAAGTCTAAGTATTCATGTGTTACTGAATCCTGTGAATACTGTATTCATCAGCAAATATTAAACAATTCACAGCACTCGGGATCTCCTCACTTATAGCAGCCATTTGAGTTGACAGCTTTGTTCAAGGAGGAGGCCCTGCTAGAAAGACAACAGACTGACTGACATGCTCAGCCAGGTGATTTAGCCATCGAGTTTAGCCATTACAGCCGGAGCTACAGAAGTGATTATCAGAACATTAACTCAACTCTAAGCCAAGCTCTGGCCGCCTTTCCAAACACAGTTTTTAATCTTATTTAAAGCATTCTGGCTCTACCATAAAAATATACAGACTGGTTTTCAGGTATCTGAATGAATTTAGAGAACTGACACTGTTGTGAATTAAGCAAATGTGATTGATAAGCCAGAATTTACTTTGCAGGAAAAAAACACCACCAAAACAACTCAGTATTCATATGTTCATTCATGTATGCTTACATCACTTTAAACTACTAGCTATTCACTATGAAATACCTGTACTACATTTGTTCCCAAATCTGAAATCTCCATGTAAGAAAAAAATGTCAGGCTGTTGACAGTGTTAAGAGTAATTCCTATCAGGTTCAGATAAAATGCAGGAACAAAGCACTCTGCCCAGTTATGAACATGGAAGAAACTGCTGACTTCTAAAACAATTTTTGGATCAAAAAAGAAACGTATAAAAAATTCAGACACACAAAAGCATGTATCTGTGATTACCATGCCTTTCATAAACAATCCACAGAAGTCCTTAAGAATTTGTAAATACTCCTTCAGTTAAAAGTGCTCCAATGACTTGTGATAGATAAGCAGGACATTCATCCCTCAGCCCCAAAAGCTAAAATCATAATTCTATGCCCCCTTCAGGTTCTTAAAATCCAGATTAAGCAATTAACTGATTTAAAGGCTTAAAAACAGATTCCCAGTTATGCCTACTAAATCCTTCTCAGTCTTATCTAGAAGGCAGCAATACCAGTTACAGCTTCAACAGCTTTTTTGTCTCTTTATGTCTAGACTGGCAGAGGACAGTGACAAGGTATTTTTCAGAAGGCTTGTAATTCGGTGACATGAATAAGTTCTATATATGCAAGGTACATGAGGACTTGGCGGCCCATCTTTGTTGTGTACAGGATTCATAAATTTAAGGTCTCTGCTACTGAAAAGCTGATTCTTGACCATAACGATCTAATGAATTTAAAGGAATACTTCAATCTGAAGTCTTCACTCTTCAAATGGAATTCAATTTGAAGTACACTTATGGACTGCACACATTACCTGTAACTAAAGTGTGACAATAACCTTTTGGCCTTCTTATTACAGAAGCATGAAGCATATTTGTAATTTACAGACCATTATGTAGCACTCTAAAAAAAAAAGTTACCAGAACATCTGTGCTGGGCTGGGGTAGAATTAATTTTCTTCTCAGTGGCTAATATGGGGATATATTTTGGATTTGTGCTGAAAATTATGTTGATAACATAGAGATGACGTAATCATTGCCAAGCAGCTCTGACTCTGCCTTTCCTGCTTCTTGTACTGGCACACTAGAGAAGTGGCTGGGGGTGCACAGGAGATGGGAAGGGACACAGCTAGGACAGCTGACCCCAAGTGACCAAAGGGATATTCCAGACCATATGACATCATGCTTAGTATATCATGTGGGGGAAATAAGAAGGAAGAGGGGGGCATTCAGACTGTTGTCTTCTCAAGTCACTGTCACACATAATGGGGCCCTGCTCTCCTGGAGATGGATGAACATCTGCCTGCCCATGGGAAGCAGTGAATCAAGTCCTTGCTTAGCTTTGCTTGTGTGCATGGCTTTTGCTTTCCCTGTTAAACTGTCTTTAACTCAACCCACCAGTTTTCTCACTTTTCTAAGTTTCAGTTGCCAGCTGAGGTTAAATCACAACATCCTTTACACCTCAGTCATTTCCAGACTAAGCCAGCCAGTCTACTCAAATTTTCCAAATAGGCACATAATTCATTGTCATTAGATCAAATTTACAAAGTTCACAAGAACCACCTTATTTAAATTATAATAAATCAAGGACAATAGAAACTGTGAACCATTACTCCTTGTGGCTGCAGTATATGACATACTTGACTTACATCACCACAGCTTGAGAAAGTCCCCAATACATTCAGATTCAGAAAAGTGTTTCTTGCCAGCTCACACTCCTAAGCTGTAGATATTAAAATTATTGGCAGAACCACAGTGACACAAACATCCTTTTCAGGAAAGAAAGAATTACTGACAAAACATTTCAGCAAATCCCTTAGCACTGCATTTTGCTTACTTCCTTCTTCTATCGGTTCCAAACAGACATCTGTTGCTAGTACACAAGAAATTCTTTTTCCAAAAAACACAGAGAGGCAAGAGTGTATATGTAAGTATTTGTGG